AATTTTATTGCCGTTAGGGTTTTACAATTTTAAATGTGATGTTTAAAATTTAGCTATTTCCGCGAATCTTGTTAGTTGATTTAGGGTAAAAGACGATGATGTGGCAATCAGAGTTAACAGAACTCGGGGCGCTACATAAAGAATGTTGAAGCAACTTATCAGATACTCGTAAACAAGATGTTTGCCGACCTACTTGGCAACACGATGGAGGTTTACGTGGATGACATGCTTGTCAAAAGCTTAAAGATTGGTGACCACATAACTCACCTCAACGAGGCCTTTCAAATCTTGTGAAAGTACCGCATGAGGTTGAATCCTCTCAAGTGTACATTTGGAGTCGCATCGGGTAAGTTCTTGGGATACATGGTCAACCAACGGGGCATAGAGGCAAACCCTGAGAAATTACAAGTGTTGATTGAGATAAGGTCCCCTCAGAACTGAAGGAAGTGCAAGGTCTGATTGGTCGGGTAGCCGCTTTGAGCCGCTTCATATCAAAAGCCACAGACAAGTGCCTCCCATTCATCAAAGTGTTGAAAGGAGGCAAGAAATTCCAATGGATTGAGGAGTGTGAATAGGCCTGAAAAGGCACCTAGGGCAGGCCCCCCCTCCTATCAAAATCCAAGCTTGGAAAAGTTCTGCAACTTTACTTGGCAGTCTTCCTGGATGCCATAAGTACTGTACTTATAAGAAAAGAGGGCTCAACCCAGTTACTAGTTTACTATATCAGTAAGGCACTGCTAGCCCCTGAGACACGTTACCTAGATATGGAGAAGTTGGCCCTGGCATTCATAACTGCATCCCGAAAGTTGAGGCCCTACTTTCAGGCTCATACAATCCATATGTTGACAAATTTCCTTCTCAGACAGGTATTGCAAAAACATAATGCCTCTGGTAGGTTACTAAAATGGGCAGTGGAACTGAGCGAATTTGAGATCTTCTTCAAGGCTAGATCCACCATTAAAGGCCAGGCCCAAGCAAATTTTGTGGCTGAGTTCACCAACGTCCCTGAAGTGGATGAAACTATGGAGCCCGTCGAGCCTCCCACCTGGAACCCATTCGTGGACAGTTCAGCCGGAGAAACAGGCTCAGGAGCAGGCATGATACTAATGAGCCCCGAAAGTCATAAGCTGAACAGCGCAGTGCTGTTTGGATTTAAGGCCACAAACAATGCGGCTAAACAAGCTAAGGAGGAGGTCTGGTCATTTTATATTGGTTGATGATATCCTTTACAAGCGTAGATTCTCTTCGCCTCTTCTTCGAAGTATCGAAGAAGAGGGGGCCAACTACATACTCCGTGAAATCCACGAAGGTGTCTGTGGCAACCACTCGAGAGGACTTTCTTTGGCCAAAAAAAGTATTGAGACAGGGATATTATTGGCCCACCTTGAAAATGGATGCCATCCAATTTGTTCGGAAATGTGACAAGTGCCAACATTTCTCCCATGTCCAAAGGAAAACCCTCCCAGGAGTTAACTCCAGTATCTAGCCCTTGGCCTTTCAGCAAGTAGGGTGTGGACCTCGTTGGCCCCTTACCTAGGGGCAGAGGATATGTCCCCAGGGTTGTGCCGCCTCGGTATGAATGTCGAAGGAGGGACGAGAAGGCGGGAAACCAGGCAGGACCTTCTGCTCCACCGCCAAGGTATGAAGCCAATGCAAACTATATTTCAGATGATCACCAGAGATCTTGTGACTCGGACGATGATGATGAGAACCTGCCATTCTCATAAGAGTTGAGGAACGCCCAGTGCCGAACCACTATATAATGCCCAAGATACCAAAATATGA